ACTTATTTATATTTGTTCAGGTATTTTGATAGATGCTTTAGATTTATGATTTAAATTAATATTTTTAATTTACACTTTTTAAAACATAAGTAAAAATTTGTAAACTATGCTATGTTTTAAAAATAAATTTAATTAATGAAGATAACAAACCTACTGGACAGTCCAAACTTTTTAAAACTCTTCAATGGACGCTATGTTCCTCTTTAGCCATTTCATTAGAGTGACTGATTTATTGGGGAGACCTATTCATTAGCATGTTATGACTTGCTTTTCGCATCTGGACAGAAATAACAGCCTTGTTTTGTTACCTGCAGCTTAGGTGACCGGAAAAGGGACGCAGCCATCACGAAAGGCAAGTCTGTAGTTTGCCGAAGATGTAAATTTTGTTTTGCTGATAGGGTAGCTGTTATAAAAGTGTCTTCAATTGGACCTTAAACTAAGAAATAACCGCTTTCACATGTGGGGTTCCGGGTTCAATATCTTTGGATCTCTTTATTCTCAAAGTTCGTTATGTGATTGTCTAGTACTGATGGTATGATGAATTGGCAGTTAAAATCAGCCAATAGGAAACTATTCTTGTCTGGGAGAAAGGCCGTGGTTTCAAATCCTATACAGGGGATGAAGCGACGCTCCCGCAGGATAGATTTGGTAGAAGGACTTGGCGTGTTGAATTCATTATTTGGTTCGATTAATCTTTGATAATAATAAAAAGGGCACATTTCTCCGTACTTGCTAATAAAGTTATAGTGTTTGCTTCTGAAATAAACAATTTGTGGAGAGCAGAAATAGTGTCTTTGATTTCTAGCAGTGGACTAATTTTAAATGTGCAGTTTCATCGTTGCCTCAGTTATTACCGTGACACGGTCCTGAGAAGAGTCAAGTGTTCTACCGAAGCCGGCAAATAAATACAAGGATAGAAAGGGGACGGTTATACTACCAACATATATCAACAAGTACGAGTATACCAGCATCGGTTATGTATGACGGTGGATTATAAATATAAAAATACATGAAAAACAGAATATGACGTATAAATATTCTAGTGTTAGTGTACGGTACAGAAGTCACTGATCTCTCCTTTTGAAGGGAACGTGAGTTGGTATTCAGGACTCGCTGTCAAAGCATTATACAGCTTCAGAAAACAGCAACGAAGAGAAATTTCCTCTCGCATATTTTTCTTACAGACGCATGTTTTAATAAATGTTCATTGTGTCACTCAGTCACAAAGGCACAGTTTGTAGCGACGACGTTTAAACTATTGTCATTTTGAGAAAGAGATGTCTAATTAGCTTCTACTCGTGCATATACAGGCTTGGTACACGAACTTACGCAGTCGCCTGACATGCAACAAAAACTGCTTTGCTGAGAATATGATCAAACAATATGGATATGAGCGGATGTCTATTAGCTTTTGAATCCATGATTTATTTTATCCGTCTTCTAGTGCATACATTTATTTATCCCCTCCTTTCACTCTCACTACATGTTTCGGCACCAATGTGCCATCTTCAGGTGCTGATCCAATCCACGACAAACTAATTCATTGCATGCCTTGTCTTTACATACTAAAATAACTAAAATATATATTTATCATATATACTCGTACTGAAAAATGTCAAGTGTTAAAATACTAAAACTGTACAGCATATTTCTTTCCTACGTCGTGTTTCATTACGCGAGTCACGTCTATCATCCTCTGTTGGAGCACTCTCTCTTTCACTATCGTGTATTGTGCTCTGTGTTGCGTCTCGCT